GGCCTGCAGGAAGGTGCACCGGTCCTGCCCCGTGAGCACACCCACCTCCTGCGGCGAGATGGCGGCCAGCAGTCCCCCGGGCCGCGATGCCCACACACAGCGATTGTCCGAGTGGCCCACGATGGCTACGTCGTCGATGCGCTGGTCCTGCAACACCGCACTGATGTAGGCTTTCCACTCGCCCATTCTGACTCAGCGCTGGTCCCTCGCCTTGCACTTCGGAGGGTTGCCGGGCTGCTCCCGCCTAAAATGCTGGGGGCACTGTGACAGATGCGAGGGTGGGGTTATGACGCTGAGGCTGCGGGTGGAGAATGGGGGCGGGGTTGGACCTGTCACCTGGTGACGTTCACATTTAGCCTGAAGGAAGAGACTGCATGAGGGTGGAAATAATCCTTGAAAACCAATTTAGATGGCCCATCAAGCACAGTGCACATGGGTTTAAAAACAAAAAGGTGTGCCCGCAGGCGTGCCTCAGTGCTCCTGCGTTGACCTATGAACCAGGAGGTCAGGGTTTGATTCCTGGTCTGAGCACATGCCCCAGTTGTGGGCTCCATCCCTAGTAGGGGGCATTCAGGAGGCAGCGGATCAGTGATTCCTTCTCATCATTGATGTTTCTTTCTCTCCCTCTCCCTCTCTGAAATCAATAAAAATATATTTTTTAAAGATGCCACAGTTTCTTTTTTAAAAAAAAATAGATTTTATTGATTTTTTTTACAGAAAGGAAGGGAGCGAGAGAGAGTGTGTTAGAAACATCGATGAGAGAGAAACATCGATCAGCTGCCTCCTGCACACCTGGGGATGTGCCTGCAAACAAGGTACATGCCCTTGACGGGAATCGAACCTGGGACCCTTCAGTCCTCAGGCCGACGCTCTATCCACTGAGCCAAACCGGCTATGGCAATATATATATTCTTTTTAATAAAAAGATGCCACGTCTGGACAGTGGGGCCTCTCTGCCTGGTCCCCAGAACATGGTTCTCCAATGTCAGGCGCTCCAGAATCGCCTGGAAAGCTGTGGTGCAGACTGCTGGGCCCGACTCAGAGTTTCTGATTCGGTAGTATGGTGTGTACCCTGAAAGTGTGCATTTCTACAAATTCCCTGGCGCCGCCGCTGCTGCTGGTCCCAGGTCCGCACTCGGAGACCCACTGCCCTAGCAGCGTTGGGGGGAAGTGAGGCACTCCACTCTGGTGGCCAGCCCTAAGGCTCCACACCAGTTTTCAGGTTAAGCATTTCTAACCACGGTTCCCAACCCCGCCGGAACATGTCATCACCGGAGAACTTTTAAAACATACCACTGCCCATGCCCCATCCCTAGAGACAGGGGATTTAATTGCTCTGAGGTGGATCTCAGACATAGGTTCTGACGTGCAGTCGAGGCTGAGAATTTCTCTGGAAATTTAAAATATTAATGTTTCATACGAGGAATAATGTGTGGAGCCACTCTGCACAGGGCTCAGTACACGTCAGCTGGACAAGAAAAAAATCTAAATCTCCCATAAGATCTCAATAGATCCTGTTCTCTAGGGGCGGTGGAGAAGCTGCGCTTACTGGCTTACTGTCTCGGCATTTCCCAGTGGGGACCCCCCGAAGAGCTGTGCCTCTCAAGCATTTCCAAAGCACTTTATTGAGTGTTTACTCCGTGCCTGGGGCCGGACTGACGGACTGACGGCGCTGGAACACATCCTTGCGGTCCGGGATCGGGCCCAGCCATCCTCCCATTCCAGAACCACCGAGGAGGAAAAGAGGAGTCCCTGAGCGGTCAGGAAGCCATGTGCTCACGGATCCAAGTCAGGTAGTTGGCCACATCGGTGTACACACCCGGCTTGTTACGGTCGCCACAGCCCGAGCCCCAGCTGATGATGCCTCGAAGGGTGAGCCGACGCCCTTTGTCGCCCTCCTCACACACCAACGGACCCCCGGAGTCACCCTGGGTGGAGATACACGGCTCAGCGCCCTGGGCCTGGGGTCTGCACTGGACGGGGTGGGGGTAGGGCGCGAAGCGGCCGGAAGGCTCACCTGGCACGCGTCGGTGCCCCCCTCGGGAAAACCAGCACAGAGCATGCCGGGGTAGAAGGCGTTGCCGTGCATATCAGGGTCGGAGCAGTGCTCGTGAGGGATCAGCGGCACCTGCGCCTCCTGCAGAAAGCTGGCATATTCCTCCGCCCCTGGGAACCAAGGAAGTGTTCACCCCACCACTCCGGACTCGGCTCCCCGCCTGCGCCAGGCTCTTCCAGATCCACTGCCTCCCTCGCAACAGGCCCGAGAGGGAGGCAGCTGCCGGTAACGCCTTTCACGGACCAGAAAACAGGCCCGAGGGGAGCGGGATGCGAATGGGCGATGGGAGGGGCGGAGCAGGCCTCCCCCTTCCCAGCCAGCATCTCAGAACCTCAACTACCCACCCTGTTCGAGCGCAGGCCCGTGCAGCCCGGTGCCCAGTGGGGCCCAAGAAGAAGTGTGATGCTCCCTGTACTCGGGAGTTTGGGGGCCCCCAACAGTGGATCCCAGGCCCGGGGAGGGGTGGCTGCAGAGACAAGGCCCTGCACGTCCTCACAGCCCAGCAGGTCAGCGCCTCCCGTCCCTGGTGACACCAAAGCTGCGGGCTTGTCTTGCCCACCCCGGTGCCAGAGGTCTCCCTCCCGCCCCCAGCGGTTCTGCCTACCCTCGAATTGGTGGCC